AACCACCCTAATATATATATATATATATATATATATATATATATATATATATATATATATATATATATATATATATATATATATATATATATATATATATATGCAAAATTTATTATCGTTAAGTATGTATATGATAAAAATGAGTGGATCAAGTATGGATCCTTGTGGAACACCACATATTATATATTAATAGATGATAGTATCTTAATTGTAAACAAACTGTTTATGGTTAACCATAACATGGTTTTATCTTTAATACCATATGACATTAGTTTTTTCAACAGCATTCTATGATTAAACATTCTATGTATAACAAATTAATACCAAAAAAATTCCTCAATATCTCTCCTGAAAAATATATATTCAATAAAAACTAATCTTAAAAAACTCGTTTTAGATACAAGCAGTTATATGGAAATTTTCTAATATCTTATGAGTAATTCAAATATCAAATTTGTCCCAAAAAAAAAAAAAAATCTAAAACTAAAATATATAAGCAAGTATGAATACACACACACATATATATATATATATATATATATATATATATATATATATATATATATATATATATATATATATATATATATATATATATATATATATATATATATATATATATATATATAACTATTTTATTCATTATTTATAATATATTTTTCAATATAATTAGTTTTGTTATTAGGAAGGAGCACAATATAAACATAACGTATATATATATATACATATACACATACACACATACACACACACACACACACACACACACACACACACACACACACACACACACACACACACATACACACACACACACATATATTTATATATATTCATATATATACATATATACATACATACACATATACACATATACATATATGTATATATATATATATATATATATATATATATATATATATATTATATATATATACGTTATGTTTATATTGTGCTCCTTCCTAATAACAAAACTAATTATATTGAAAAATATATTATAAATAATGAATAAAATAGTTATAAGTATCTCATGAAATTGTTTAAAAAAAAAGGTTCTCGATGACAAGACTTCATACAGTTTTCTGCGAGTTTCACTTGACTTCATAACTAAAGGTTTATTTTTTCCTTTTTTAAGTCTTATTTTGTCTTTTCAAAATCTAAACTGTAAAACTATTTTACATTTTTTTATTACTTTCTACATCAAATATATCTTAACTATTTCAGTTATTTTCGACGCTTTTTTACTGTATTTGCAATAAAACTATATATTGTTAAAGTTATTTGTAATAAAAGTATGTATTGTTAAAACTAGGCAGTTGTAAAAATATAAGAAAAAAAAAAAAAAAAAAAAAATACCGTAGAATTCAGTCACAATATTTATGTTAATACCATCATATCCAGTTGCTTTATTTCATTTTAATGACTTAAAGGCAAATTTAAATTCATTAAAAGTTAACTTATTTAAATTTATATTAGAGTTTATTGGTGTTACAAACTCATTATTAGATTTACCTTGAATGTATAGAATACTTTTATTTATTTTGTCTCGATAGCTGTGAAAAACCTGATTAATTCAAATTTAGTTTTTAAATAGTGAAATTTTTTTTTTTTTTTTTTGTTATTTTACTTCGCCTCCTCAAGGCCGAGTATGCCACTACAGACGAGGAGGCTACTTATTTTGTGGCTATAACCCTCTCTCAATTCTATAACTCCGAAACACGAACCTTGACGAACAAGGCCGCTGCGGGGAGAAACAAGTTGAGCGCGGTAAGTTTAAACATATCAATTAATTATATATTAAAAAAAAAAAATTCATTTATTATTTCATTATTATCTATTGACTAATTTATTTTAAATAGAAGCTGTTACACTAAAACTATGATAAATCTATTTAAATTTTATGAAAAAAACTTTTATAAAAAACTACAAAAAATTAGAAATAATTTACAAAAAATAAGTAAAGATTAAGTAAATTCCCAAGTTCCGAAAAAATACCTAGTTTAGCATGTTTACTTCGGACCTTCTATAAATCTGTGAAAAGGCAAACCAGCAAATTTGCTGTATCCAATAGTAGTGAAATAAATATGTCGCTTGTCCTGATTATTATTATTATTATTACTATTATTATAATTATTATTATTATTATTATTATTATTTTTATTATTATTATTATTATTATTACTAGCTGTCATGACCCGTAAAATACGGGTCTTTAGGATATTGATGCACACTTTATCCGCGTGCTTACAGTTCATAAGAACTATTATCCGGTTTATAACGCAAGAAAATCTCAATCAAATGAAAACATCTCAATCAAATGAAAATTTTAATGTCCTAGATACGAAGATTAAACTTATTGATTGCGTAAACACTAACTTTAACATAAATGGCATTTGCGAGACACTTCTTGCAACTTATGTCAAAATTTAATGGTGACTCTAAAATCCAAAAGGATAGGGGAGAGACGCTTTTTTTGAGAAAATATTTATACCCACTCCAAACTTACCTAGCCACACCAACCCTCGTTTATTAATCTTTACTTATCAGGTCTCCTTAAAAATAACAATTGAAAATAGGCATTTTCCCTTAAATTTTAAAATGTTTTAATTAAAACTGAGAAAATTGTTTTTATTTCAATAAGTGATAAAAACAGAAACTTTCAGCATAGAATCAGTTTTAAAAGTCATCGACCAAGTAAATCTGGATTTGTCGAAAATGGGCTTTATTTCTCACTAAATCTAAATTTTATTTTAGCTGTTTTACTGTTCTATAACATATATATATATATATATATATATATATATATATATATATATATATATATATATATATATATATATATATATATATATATATATATATATATATATATATATATATATATATATATATATATATATATATATATATATATAGATGTTATAGAACAGTAAACTGTCTAGTATAAAGATATTGGTAAAATTCTTTTAAAAACTTAGATTATAAAATAATTATAAATTTTAAAATTCAGAAAAAATACTGGGAAAAGAAAAACACAGGAAAAGGTACCAAGTCGCAGTTTTTAGATTCGGAGGTATACGCGTTGCAACTACCTTTTTTATCTTTTTTCAAGCAGTTTTAATATTTAGTAATAGTTTTTTTTAAATAAATAAATAATGAAAATTTATATTACCTTTATTGCTATGTTAGTTTACACAGTTTTAAATTGTCAATTTTTAAAGTCTTTTTTACTGTAATTTCATTTTAAAACACTTCCATGAAAAACTATGTAGAACTTTTTAAAATGATGCTATCAAGCTAAATTTTGTTTTATTTTGTGACTTATTCCTGACTCTATGCAACTGTATCAGTAACTCAGAAGATTGGTACTTTTTACTGTAAGGCACCCATACGTTAAATAAAAAAGTCATAAACGCCTTTATTGTTTAAAATCATTTCCAACATTGGCAAAATTTATCTTAGGAAGGGTAAAGAAAAACAACAGTGCTTATTGTAAAATTTTATTTTATTTATTTGTATATATTTTGTATAATCAATTATAATTATAATTATACGTAACACCCCCCCCCTCCCAGTTACATAATAATAACACAGTATTCATACGAATGAAATACAAAACTAAAAATTAACTTACCAGCAGCAGCTGCACTTGTAGCAGATGATGACGAAGATGCTGTTGTTGTTGTTGTTGTTGTTATTGTTGCTGATAAAGTATGAAAAAAATTAACTAAATAAAATATTAACAGTAACTAATAATTATTCTAGTTGTAATATAAAAAAAGCTGTTTATTTACCAGGAGTTGTGGCAGCTGCTGCCATTGACAATGATGGTGTTCGGGCTATATATAATCAAAAAATCTATGATTTCATAATACATAAGAAACTTTACAATAAAAAAAGCTAAATTCTTTTGTATGTTTAAATAAAACAATATGTTTACATAATATGGTGATGTGTATACCACCACCATATGTATGCATATAATCAATTATTTTTTGGAAAGAACCAATTTATAAATTTATAAAGTTAAAGATATTTTCATACAGGATTGCTTCTCCATCTTCTTTAAAAAATTATTAACTAAAGAGAAAAAACAATTTTATTAACATTTTCTATGTAAAGTGATATTTTAAAAAATTAAATAAAACATGAGTATTACAGTAACAAATAAAAAGTTTAATAATCAATACAATCTAAAATCTTACACATTTCTTCCATAGATTGCACTAAAATAACATGAGCTATTGATTATGACACAATCAAAAATAATTCAATCAAATTATAAACTTAATCAGTAATAAATTTAAAAAAAATTTAAAAATCAAAACTTACAAAACATTTGTTGAAAGTTCACTACAAAAAAAAATAATACTTATACTAATACATTTTATGTCTTTAAAAATTTAAAACAATAAATTTCAAGTAAATAGAAAACTAACTGTTATTAACAAAACATTGAATAAAAAATTGAGTTTTTTTTACCTGATTGTGGTTGTTGTTGTACTAAAAAAATTAATACAGATTTAAAAAAATACAATAGTAAAGAAAAAGAAAAAACAAATTATTAAGAACTTTTTAAAGTAAGATTTACATTCAATAAAACAAAAGGTTTTTTCTTACCATATTGTAATTGTTGTGTTTCTAGTTAAAATATAAAAAAAGATAAAAAGTAATAATTAAGTATTAGAAAAACAATTTGATATCTACAGCACAACAAATAAAAATAGGTTTTTTATAAAAAAAAGATTATTGAAAAACGTATAAAATTAATTTCTTACCAGGTTGTTGTTGCACTACAAATTAATGTGTAGTATTAAAAAATAAACACGCATAATATTTTTTTTTTAATAGAAATCTTTTTTAAAATTTTTTTAAAAAGAGACTTTAAATACATTGGAATTTTTTTTTTACCTGATTGTAGTTGTTGCGGTTCTAGAAAAAATATAAATACAGATTAAAAAAAATACATTAGTAAAGAAAAGAAAACGACAAAATGTTAGGAAATTTTAAAAAAAAAGATATAAATAAATTGAAACAAAAGGTTTCCTTCTTACCAGAATGTGGTTGTTGTTGAGCATCTGCTTAAAAAAAAAAACAGATTAAATAATTAAGTAAAAGAGAAAAAATATTATCAATGGCACAACAAATACAAAATAGGTTTTTTGTAGGTTTAAGGGGCTATAAAAAAGTATATAAAAAATTCTTACTTTGTTGTGGTTGCACCACTAAATAAAAATATGTTCAGTATTAAAAATAAAAAAAAAATACAGACAACTTAAAAAAATGTGGTTTAACTAAAAGCAAAGAGTAAAGTATATGGAAAGCAAATAAACGAAAAACTTAACAAATAAATAAAAACAAAATTGGCGACCTAATTAACAAATAAAGACGACTAAAATTGAATTACTGAACAAATAAAATAATAGCGACTTACTAAACATCAAATCGTCATCTAAAGCTTCTAAAAATTTAAAAAGAGGTCAATAAGCAATTTAAAAAAAAATTAACTAAAGAAAAAAAAAAAAAAAAATGCTACCTGACATGATTTATTTTCAAATTTAAATCTAAATCTATATCTAATCTAAAAAAATATCAAACAATGTAATAATCTAAAAATAATAATATGATAATGTTACTATCAATGTAATAAATCTAAATCCAAAAGTCAAGGATTAAAGAGATGTAAGAAAAAATTTGTAAAAAATTCTTTTTTTAACCCTTAAATTTTATCTTTTTTTAAGTATTTAACTAAGCATTTAACTAAGCCTCGTGGTGATTAAAACCGCGTGGAAGAAAAACTCGATTGGCATTTTGTTTAAAAAACCTAGGTTGGCACTTTGTACCACAGCGATATTTATCATATACAAAAAACCTGAATTTCTGTTTTTGTATATTTGATCAACAAAGTTTTTTCTCAAAAAGACTTGGAATATGTCAAGAAAGTTGGAAACTAAGTGTTAAAAGACTTCACGAAAAAACAAAATTTTGAAATTTGTGAACGATTTTTTTTCTCTCGTTAGCGAAGTTGGTTCTGTGTCAAAATGCGAGGATCAAACTTTTGATTAATATCTTTACATATGTTGTGTATATACTATATCTATAAAACTTTATAAGTATTTGAATTAGTATTTAAAAAAGTCTAAAAAAAAATTAAAATAGTAGTCGCCAACGGTAGGACTCGACCCAGGGCAGCTATGTTTCGAAGTCCAGCGCGCTAACCACTCTACTACGCCGTCACGTAGCGTCTTGAAGATTTCAAATTATATAAAAATTGTTTTTTAACGGATAAAACACAAAAGATTAGAAATTAAGCAAAGGTTGACGAAATGCAGTTCTTAAGTGAAAATCAAACTGTTGAACTTGATATATGTTTAAGCATGTTTTAACATTACATAACATGAAGTTTATGTACGTACAATATGAGTTTCACGTTTGCTCGCGTTTTCTTATAAAGCAAAGGTAAGACTCTTTCTCGTCACTACCTCGGATGCAATGGTTGCCAAGAGTATCGTGTCAAACAGGCTCGAAAGCGCACTACTACTATTAAGTCCAGTATTATTATAAAGAGATTATTATAGTATATTCTTTTTATAATCGCTACTACTAATTTTTTTATCACTATAATCACTACTATTACTTTTATTATTCCTACTTGTATTATAATTATTATTATTACTATCTCCATTTTATTTTTATTCAGTTTGACAGGTGTTTACTTTATATTAGTACAAATTACTATTTGTAAATATCCTTGATGTAACAACTTTATTCAGAATATATATATATATATATAATATATATATATATATATATATATATATATATATATATATATATATATATATATATATATATATATATATATATATATATTTGATTTGATTTGATATTTGATTATTTGATCTACAGCAAGTATTACAAGACCCCATCTAAAATGTGATCACCTTAACTTTTTCTTTAAACTTATTTTAAACCACCTATAGAAACTGAATTGCAGGTATTTGTGACATTTCCAAGACCAGAATAAAATGATTTGGAAATGGCTCAATTATAGATGTTTCATAAAGCACAATTTCTATTTTGGGCTAATGTGATGCGCGCAATTTTTGGAATTCTAGTAACTTCTGATGCTTTAGAAATACAATTTAGTGGTTAGGAAATATAATGACACGCAGAAGACTTGATCTGAATATGGATCAAAGAATCTGACTCTTAAAAATGCAAAAATGTTATCTTTTATACAGCAAAACTCTCTTTGGCACCTCTTATTCTAGTTAATAATATAGTTAAGAGCCCAAGCAGTCTGTATTGTTTACTGCATTATTTAAGCAGATTCCAATTTATGATCATTAGTCAAAAATATCGCGTTGGTACATGAGTTAAAAACATATTGTTTCTAAAAAAGCATTGCACTGCACGTTGCACTATTAATAAGTTGATCTTAAAATGCTTGCAATTGAGTGTTAAAAAAATTACAAGTGTCAGATAATCACTAGTGAATCAATAGTGGGCCATCATATTGCGCAACTTTAACCCTAGTACTTCATTAGACCAACATCGTACCAATAACTTTACACCAACATCGTACCAATAACTTGACACTAACGATGCATCAACGTGAGGCTAACTCAGTTAAATATGCATTAGGCAAATGCGTTGTCAACTGTAGCATTTAGTTTGACCTATGTATCAAGATTGTGCACATACATATCAACCAAAAACATAAACAAATTTAAAGCATACAAAAACATGCCATCAGAACCAATTACTCTGAAAAATAAGCGTGAAATTGATGAAAGATAAGCAAATGAGATTGTGATATGCAAATGAAATGTATTTGAAATAAGTATCTCAACTTTTTTTTTTTTTATTTTTTTTTTTGTTAGCACTGAACTTTTATGCGTTGATTCCACAACAATTGGTTTTGGTAAGTGGAGTGAACTTTGTGCGGAAAAAGAAAATTTGTCTCTACATTTTAAAATTTTCAGCCATTTAAAAAATCTTTTTGAGACAAGTTTTAAATTTATTTGAGTCTGACGAGACCGAATTTTTAAATTTTAATTATCAAGTTTTAAAACTATAAGAAACTCATTAATTTTTTAAATAAATATTAAAAAAATAGTAGTTTTATCAAATTAATTAATTTAAATATTAAATATAATTAGAAAACAATTGTTTAGTGATCTATATACATATACAGGTTATTAAAAACTTAAACCTAGGTGCGTAAAAATTTTTATTTTTTAAGTAAAAAAATTGTTTCTAAAATAAAGTTAAAAGACCTGAATACGATTGTTACTTAAATCTGATACTATTATAAATCCGTTTGGTGTTACTGCAACGCTTTCGGGGAAAGAGAGCTGGCCATCTCCGTTTCCTTCTGTTCCAACACACTTTACCATTTTTCCTGCGTATGTAAGTATTTGTAATCTATGGTTACCCATATCAGACACAATTATATTGTTTGCTATGTCCATTGAAAGTCCTCGGGGATGATTGAATTGTCCATCTTCTTGACCTTGAGTTCCAAATAACTGAATAAATTTACCACGTCTATCAAATATCTGTATACGATGGTTTTTAGAATCGGAAACTAAAATGTGTTCATTTTCAGCGTTTGCTGCAACGTAGCACGGAGAATTAAATTGCCCTGGTCGGTCACCATTACAACCAAATTTCATTATAAATTTTCCGTCTGATGAAAATATCTGTATTCGATGGTTGTCAGTATCTGCAACTATTATTTCTCTCGATACCGGTGAAACTGTGACTCCCCAAGGGGATTTAAAGTTTCCGTTTTTAATGCCTTCACGACCAAACTTTGCAATAAAATTTCCATTTCTACCAAAAACTTGAACACGGTTGTTACCATTGTCGCAAACTACTAACTTGCTGTTTGGTGATACTGCTACATCAGTTGGACAATTAAACTCACCTTTTCTATCTCCATGTGAACCAAACATGTGTACAAACTCTCCGCGAGGACCAAAAGTTTGGATTCTATGGTTATAACTATCGGCTACATATATAAATCCTTCGTTATCACTAGCAACACCAAAAGGTGATTTAAACTCTCTACGCTTGGAGCCATATTGACCAAATTTTAATAAACTTGGGCCAACTTCACTATACTCTCGCCTGTTAATAACAAATATTTCAAAGGGACTGCCATTGATTGGTTTTGTTTTAATTGTAATATGAAGCAAATGTCTACCATTGATGTCAGGTGTAAAGCGAATAGTATAAGTTCCATCATCTAAAAGAATGAAGGCAGCTTTAAAATAAGAATACGATATTCAACCAAGGGGGCGCCTTTATCATCATTTGACAATCTCCAAATATTTGGTATGCATGAAATCACACAATATATAGCCTAAGCGCAACCCCCTGTTTGAAACATGTTTTAATCATGTAAAACAATTTAAATTTTTTAGATTTATTATCAAAAAATAAATAAAATCTAAAATATATTTATTTTAAAGAAATTTTTCCTTTACTTTTTTGAATCAGTAAATAACTATTTTTGGAAATAAGGTTGACTTTGCTACGCTTACCGTTGTCCAAGGCATTCAAAGTTCGTTTAGTTTCATCGGGTAATACCATAACAGCTTCAACACGGTCACTTCCTGACTTTTTTTTGCCATGCCTATTTTGAGCATGAACAATTATGTTAGATTCAATTCCAACTCTTGGTGTTTCTAGTCCTTCCCCTTCGGCATAAGACAGCGAAGCAAACGTTTGGCTAGAGCATATTTTTCCAAGTGATTCCATTACTGCCTCAATAGATTCGCTCTCACTAACGTATTGAATAGAATCGTCTTCTTCGGGATCCAGTTTAATTGTGATGCTGTTTAACTGTTGTAAACGAGATTTTATTTGAAGCACTTCAACTTCATTTCCAAACTTCAAAACATTTTCAGCAAAAGCACAACACCCACTTATTTTACCAAGTTCTAACTCAACTGCATCTGATTGCAGGCTGAGAGTTTTCTGTTTACCTCGATGTATTCGATCCAGTTCTTCGAGCAACTTTGCTTTTGCTAACAATAAAGCTTCAATACGTGCTTGAGTCTTTGCGTTTATTTCAAGCAGTAAAGACTCGCGGCATTCTCGAAGTGTGTTGGACATTGAATGTATATCTTTGATTGTGGCTTTTAACAATGGAATATTTTCTTTTGTTTTTTCTAATAACTCTTCAATAATAGGTTTTTGTTGAGGAATGGCATCTTTTGGATAAACAAATTGATGTTCGCGATGCTCTAGTATAGTGCATACACGACAAACAGCCTCATCGCACGTATTGCAGAAATACTTGATTACATTACGCGTGTGATAGCGGCAAAAGGTAAGCGTATATTTATCTAAAGATTGTTTATTCACATCTTCATCGTCTTCCATTACCACGATTCTATGATCAAGTGTAGAACGATTTCTTCGGTGATCTGCAATACATCCTCCACATAAAACCAAATCACATTCAATACACCTCAAAAAAAAATTACTAGTATGTTTAAATATATATTAAAAAAAGATTTTTAGGCAACTACAAAAAGAAGTTTAAAACTCTGTTAAATAAAAGAAATTTAAAACTCTGGTAAGTTCGTTGTAAAAAATACATACCTTGAAGTAGCATTATCGTGTTCTTGACATTGTTCACATTGTTCGCCTTTTTTTTTTTCGTTTTTTAACTCTTCAATTTTATGATGGACTAGATCTAATAAACTGTTTATGAAAAAGTTAGTTTTTAGTTCTTTTAAACCATTTATTGGTATTTTTGTTACTTCTCTGCACGTTGGACATTCAATAACATCTGATGGTTTTTGGTTTATTATTTTATGTAAACATTGACAGCAGAACGAATGCAGACAGTTTAATAATTTGGGGTCATCAAATCTTTCCAAACAAATTGCGCACACAAGTTGTTCGTGTATATTTTCTAGAACTTGAGAAGAAGACAAAGCAGCCATTTTCAACTCAAATTCTTATAAACTTATTTACTTGATGCTAAAATAAAACATTTATATTTTTCTTCACAACCTTTTTTTATTATTTTCAGATTTAGTTTCCACCTTTTGTTAAAACAAAGAAAATCAGTATCTTGTTGCGATTTCTGTTATGCAATGGCAACCTTTAAACTGAGCTACCAAATATTATTTCTAAAAATAATAGAAAATTATACTTAGATAAAACGTTTGCGCACTAGGTACGAGTTGGCTTTGAAAATTAAAATAACTCAACCATAAAGTTATGCATAACAAATTTTTTTCAAGATCAAAAAAATCATTCAGGCTGTTAAAATGTTTACGCATGCGCATTGTAATAACAGTCTCATACATTCATTAAAATAATTTGAGCATTATTACATAATTATATATATTAGCTATATTAAATTATTAATTTTACTAATTCAAACAATTTTGACAATTTAATCTTAATTTATCATTTATTTGATATCAGTTTTAATTTTTCGTATTATTCTAATTACATTCTTAAATAAAATTTAATTTTCAAAAAGTCGGAGATGGAGATGGAGATGGGTTCTAATACGCAATGATAGATGAATTTTAATTAATTATAAAAAGTTATTTAAAATTCATCTGCAAGAGAATCATTTTCTAGTTATCATTTTAAACATAGAGTTCTAGTTATTGTTTTAAACATTATTAATCTATAAATAACTCATTATAATCTATCAAAGTATTCTTAAGATGAAAAACAGACCTTCTTTTTAGAGGAATGTTTTGACTTCTACATACTTATTTTGAATAAGCAGCTACGGTGGTTAGAGTGTTAACTAGGTAATTGAAAATTCCGTTTTCCGATGTCCACTCTTTTGATAAAAGATAATTAAATCAAAACTTTTTCAGTAAATGCATTTTTACTGTACTTCATTGCAAAGTACGTCGGCTGTTTTAAGGGTATCCCAGTAAACACAGGACGTTTTTAAAACGTTTAAGAAACTTAAAAAAATAAATATTAACGTTTTTTAAACGTTTTAAAAACAATCTGTGCTTACTGGGATATGTGGCGTGTGTTATACCCCTCCCCAAAAGTGTTGTATTTAACTTATAGTCAGCTTTTTCAGGACTATAGTTTTCTAGCCCGCATTTGATGCATTTCAGTCATTATCCCTTCTAAACTTTTAAAACATTATATTTCACGTGTGTTTCACAAATCAGTATTGTGTTGTTTTTTTTCAATCACAATTTTATTTTATTTTTTTATAATAAGGAGAGAAAAAAGAAATCGAGCGACAATCGTTTCAAATATTTTTTATTTTTCGCATTTAATTTAATTGGTAACGAGATGAGAACCAAAAAGACGTCAAATAAAAGCAAACTTTTTTGAATTCTTTTTTTTAAATTACAGTACTCAAACTGGTTTTTATCATTTCTCTTAAAATATTAAAATATGTTTTTAAGATTCAAATAAGTACATTAAGTAACATTTTAAGTTTTAATTAAGTACAGAGAATAATATCAAATAAACTTGTTTTTTTTTGTTTTTAAATATTTATGCGTTAGGGAAAAGGGGGTTTTATTTTGAAAAAAAAATAGTGCGTACGTACGCGGAGGGGAAGGGGGTCTTTGAAAGTGTATGGGTTCGTATACTCTCAAAGACCCCCATTTCCCTCCGCGTACGGGGAGGAGGGGGAGTCTTAAATCAGTGGTTTTACTGCGTGGGAGGAGGGGGAGTCCTAAATCAGAGGTTTTACTGCGTACGTACTTTATGGATGCCCCCTTAAAAGAATAAACATTACAAAAATAGAAGACAAATAATTTCTACGAAAATAAAAAAAATGCTGTTTTATTATTTTAAACTAAATTGTTATTTAAGAAAAAAAGAATTTAGGAGAAAAAAAAAAAAAAAGTAATAAATTTAGATAGAACAAAAATGATATAAGTCAAAGTTTTCTCAGGGCCGTCTCGAAGGCATTTTAAAGGAAGGGGAGTGACGTGTCTGTTTATTGGCGACTAAAGCCGAAAACACTTATCTAAAAAAAAAAGGTCCTCGCCTTCCAACATTTGCCAACTGCCAACTACAAATCCAATTTGCCGAATCCAGTGTCCAATTTGCCGACTAATAAAATTCGTAAGGGGGCTAGACACTCCCTACCCCCCCCCCCTACCCTCGGGACGGTCCAGAGTTTTCTAGTCGTGAGGAATTTTTAGAAAACTGTAAAGTCATCGAGAAATCTTTCTATTAATATCATGAAATCGTTTTTTATTTTTTAGTTTTGATACTTGTTTAATTTTTAAATATATTTAGTCATGTAATGAAACAGAAAAAAACATATATCATATATATTTAGTCACGTAAAGAAACTGAAAAAAACATACACTATATATATATTTAGTAATGTAAAGAAACAGAAAACAACATACATCATATATATTTAGTCATGTAAAGAAACAGAAAAAAATATATATCATATATATTTAGTCACGTAAAGAAACAGAAAAAAACATACACTATATATATATTTAGTAATGTAAAGAAACAGAAAAGAACATACATCATATATATTTAGTCATGTAAAGAAACAGAAAAAAACATATATCATATATATTTAGTCACGTAAAGAAACAGAAAAGAATACACACTATATATATATTTAGTAATGTAAAGAAACAGAAAAGAACATACATCATACATATTTAGTCATGTAAAGAAACAGAAAAGAACATACATCATACATATTTAGCCAATATAAGAAACATAAAAGAACATATATCATATATATATTTAGTCACGTAAAGAAATAGAAAAGAACATATTAATATACAAGAATATATTTTACAGTGTTTTTTTCGCTTTATTATTATTATATTTTCACAATACCATTTGTTTCTAGCTGACCCCTGTTATTATGTTACTGTTACTATGTTTCTAGTTTTTTGTGTTTTTGAAACTTTAAAATTCTATATTTGTTCCTGTAATATTTTTTATCTACAATAACAATCATAATGAAATCTAAAGTGGCTCTATTTGCTGATGACTCCACTTTATACTCTTGTCTTGACAATAAATCTTCACTTTTTAATTGCTAAGAACAAGCAGCAAAGTTTAAATCTGATCTCTCTTCTGTAATAACCTAAGGCTTGCTGTGTCTTATGGATTTAAATTCCACAATTTTTGTTAGACAACAAAATTCATTTATTTACTACAAAAAGATATTGCAATATTGTTGGTATTCCTATATTGACAAATAAAAACCCTATAATTATTATAATATATTATATAATAATAACAATAATAATATATATATATATATATATATATATATATATATATATATATATATATATATATATATATGAATTGGCAAAAATATCTGGTTGTTCTGTTCCTGTTTCTGAAAGTTTATCAATAAAAACTTCTATACATACTAGGGGATAATTTAGGATCACATTCTATAGGAGGTTTTTGTAAAAAGTTTAGCACAGTTTTTCACTTTTGTTGATACTGTTTAGCAACAGGTGCAGAGCTTGATTTTAACCCCCAATTTTGTGGACCTGATCGAACAAAATCAAGCCACAATAATAGCCTGCCTCAATTAGCTCAGAATAATGGTAACAATTTTGAAGGAATAAAATTTCAGTCACCATTTAATGATTCATGTGAATTTCATGTGACTACAGGTTTACTACCATGCTTAGGTCATTTATCTTTGAAGGCGTCGCGTCACGAGATATGTATTTATTTGTTAAATATTTTGTTAGTAAACGGTGGTTTTCAATTAACAATATCAACAGAAGAATTAACATGCAGAAGTATTTTGAAGGAGATGCCTTGAATAAACCTTTTGAGTTGAATAAAACTTTATGTACTGAAAATTTAAGTGGTAATACAGTACAAAACTGGGTATTTTGCGTTTGTTTCCCTTTTAATTTTTTTTTTTTTTAAACATCTTCGCTTCCAACAAGGCTGCAAGCAATCACTAATTAATGTTGGAAGTTACTGGAAGCAAAAAGGTAATGATTGTAGAGCAAGATAATAGTTGACAGACGACTTAAAAGATTGAAAATTATATGAATCAGGAAAGCAAGATAAAGGAAGCGAATTCCAAAAAACTGATGTTCAAGGAAAAAAGACGAATAAGCATTTTTGGAGCACTTCAAGAAGAAAATCATAGAAAGTGTCCCAGTCAGCTTTAAGGTAGTTTTAAGATGAACGATGATAGGGGGATTCTAACTGTAAACAAGAATGAGATAATAGTATTAGAGAGATCAAACTGTGATCTGAGGCACCAAGGGTGACTATGGAGAAACCGAGTACTGACTAGGATCTGAAACAAGAGATAAGTCGAGTAGTGAAGGTAAATAATTCAGGTTGTCTGGAAAGCGAGTTGGAAAGTTGACTATTTGAGTTAGGAATTGAGAAAAGCAAAAGTTGTGGGCTTTAATGCCTGCAGAGTTACTGACACTAGAGCCAAGCCATTCTGTGTGATGAACATTAAAGTCACCGACAATAACAATATTGGCTGGTGGATATAGAGAAAGGGCTTGGTCAATATGATCAGAAATAACATCAAGAAGAGCGCAGTCTTGAGATGAAAGAGAGCGATATAGAACAAAGAGAAAGGTGATAGAGTGAAGTGGTATTAAACGAAAGCACATAAAAGAGTAGTCTGTGGATTTAAACCTAGTTTCCCGACAAATGGGTAAATTCTTATAAATGTAAATGCCCAGGCCAAGCGTGTGATTATTGGAGTCTTTACAAATTAAAGGAAGATAACCATCAACACTAAGATCACAAGATGAGACAGCTGAACTCAAATTAGTCTCACAAAGAGCAAATGGGTCTTGTAAACTTTGCAAGAGAAAAAGACTCAACAGAAGAAAAGTTACTTCAAAGACCACCAATATTAGTGAATGATAGATTTAGTAAATTTGGTGATAACAGTGGTTTTTTGTGTTTTATAGCTTTTGACACTTTATTTATTTTCAAATTTGTTAAAGAGCTTGACTCGAAACATAGACAGTACTCAGTACACTGTTTATTAGCCCAAGCAATTGCCTCATTACTATTAATAAACCCTAAGCCGTAACAGAGGGCTCCAATATGGTCTTGGCAATGCACACCAAAAGAAGAAACAGGGACACT